AGGCGCTATATGTATCTTTTATTGCCGTAAGACGTTGCAAATGTAATTTATGTGTTGTCGGTGGTTTAAGGCGCTAAAGTAGGAAATTAAAAATGATCTCCCGGTGTTTTCGTTTGGGAATTTGTCTCGTAATACCGTATTATGATAGAATCTCGGCGTGAGATCTGCCATACATCATCCTCGTTATCATACGGTCATATCCTCGTGCTATCTCGTTACAAAAGGGAATTGTATCCGTATACCGGGCACATTTCACAGAAATTGATATAGGTGGCCGTAACTGTTACTTTGCACGGAATTCATGTCGGCTTTATGGCGGGATGCTGAAAGGCACACCCGTTATTGTTCTATTCTATTTAAAACTCATGCCGTGGGCTTTCACTAACTGGCAATTCAACGCCGATGGCCAAACGAGGCATTCGCTTTTTGTTACGTGGACCGGACCCGTCTTTTCCGGGGATAATGGAAGATTGCATCGTTCTATCGTACACTTTGCCATCGCATGATTAAATTGTTTTTGCGTCATAGTTTATTATTTATAAGATGGGCGTGAATGTCTCAACGGGGGAAAAACTACAGATTTTAATACGTTTGATAGGGGAACTATTAATTACTTCAAACTGATTTTTTTGTTCAAACGTGGTTCAGATATAATTTATCTACACAATTCTATACGAATAAAGAGCAAGACATTTTCTTTTGGTTGATTTAATTTTATCTTGCTTTTATGCAAATATTATTCTTTTTCTAGATTTAGAACTTACTAGATAAAATAGTAAAGTTGAACAATTCAACGTTTTTGCTTTTACTTAAATTGCTTTTACGTCAAAGATTATTATTATTTACTTAAGAAGGGAAAAACTAGATGTTTTAATTACGTTTGACAGAGGTCGCTAAGCTGAATCATTAATTTCTCTAAACTGTCTTTTTGATTAAATAAGGCGCTAATGACTGTGAGAGAATTGCTTGCCTGCGAGAATACTCGGAGAACAGTCAAAAGGTAATCACGAAAACGGGAAGATTCGAGCAATTTCAACATACAAAATGGCCGACGTGTAAGAAGATTTCAATTGTGCTATTATCTTGACGAAGTGTAAGCATTGAGTGAAAAGTTGTATTTTTCACGTAACTACGCTTTTACAACAGTGCGAAATGTTTATGGAAACGAATCTGCAAATGTTGTATTTGTGTTTACGTTGCTTCATTGATTTTATTAACGAAGGTGCATTATAGATAATTAAATAATTGCACTATATTTCACATTTGTTTCTGTTTTTCTCGAAACAATTTTTGTTTTTGTTTTATGGTAATATTTACATTTACGCTGATTTAAATAGTGTTAAACAAAAAAATAAATAATGGAAATATACATACCTACATGTAACTAATTTGTTAGATATTTAATATTATATACATCGGCGTTGTGAGAGATTTCATTTTAATTAATACTGAAATGTTTATTTTGCTAAAATTTAATGAATCAGTCAGTTATGACTTCAGCTTTTATTTATAATTGGTATTATACGATACGAATTTAGATTTGTTGTTATAATGAAATAAACTGGAATTGTGTAATGCTGATCGGGGAAATTAAAAATTATTATTAGAAAAAAGCTTTGAAATTGTCTACCTATATTTAAGTAAAAATTTGTGAATACAATTTTTTTATGTTTGAGCTGAAGCTACTGAACTTTAGCTTTAATGGTGTTTTAGTTTTAAATTTTTGCCAGGGGCGTAGTTAGGAATTTCAGATGGAATACATAATGTATGACTTAAAATAATTCTATTACTCTGTGTAAGCAATAGTTTTGTTTTGTTTTGTCAGCTGTCGACCTTCCTTTGAGCAGTGTCTGTTATTGACAAGGTAGATGGATGCGAAACTTCAAGGTATACAAAACGAATTAAATGCGAGTTTGTTTTGAAAATTATACGCATATTTGATGTAAAATTGTGAGCTAATTAAAAAGTGTAAATAACTGTATGTCGAAGTTTATTTTTGGTAATTTGTTGGTGTATTTTTTGTATATTTAATAACGTGACGAAACCTTAACTCAACAAGCCTCTCACGAGACGTTCACCATTCCAAAGTTGAAGTTGATAACAGGAGAGTTAGCCGTACTCTAATTTGAGTCGACTGCAACGGTTTTGCCGGCAAAAGAGCAACTCCTGAGAGCAGGAAGTTTGAGTTTAGTCGAGGAGTATTTGTCGTTTTAAAGTGAAATAAATAATCTCTCGTGGAGTTTTAATTTGTCGCTGAGTATGACTAGTTCGTGTAACTATTTAATAAATTTACTTTAGGGGATATAATCACCGTGAAGAGAACGAAGCGAGGACGTGACCCTTTTTCCTGAAATTTCATTAACAAATTAAACAAAAGTTGGAATTATATGCATAACGCGACCGACCTCTCCGAAAAACAAAAATTATTGCACTTGTAACTTTTCGGGTAAATATACATCCCGAGCGTCGTGATTTAATTTAAAAACTCGAATTAATAGATTGTGCTTGGAATGTCTAAAGAGCTAATGAAAGAGAAAGAGTTGAATGCGTTTGTGGTTTATCGTAAAAGGTTTTGTCGTGTGTGGGTCTTCTTTGTTTAAGATTGTAATTGTAAATTGTTTGTCAACACGATTAGCATAGAAACACCGACCATAGCAGCGTCTCGGGCTGCCAGTTTATTCGACTGCTTATGATGTCGAGACACGCCAGAAACGGGGAAAATGTCTTCATTTCGATTCCTCCCAACGAGTACGATTCTTTGTCACAACTTTTCATTCTGTCACCGGGAGGCCACCCTCCGGACTCCCGGAACCTTTTCCTTTTAACCGCGCGAAGATAAAGGAATTTATTTTAGGCGTGCTTACAAAAGAAAAATTGAAAGCAATCAAGGTACAGACTCGGCACACATGCATTGATGGATGCGGGGACCGGAATTCGATAAACAACGCTCTTAACGAATCCAATTCAAACGTCGATTTTTTTTACTACTCGATGAATTATGTATGGAATCTATACTTGCACAAAGTGTTTGTTAGCTAGATCCTCGACTCGGGAATTATCAGCCGAGGTTTTGCTTTTCTTAAAATTTAATTTTCTGTGAAGTTGGTAGTGCGMGTTGCATTTTCTACGATTCCTGCAAGTCTTTCATCTAAAGAAATAAATTCGCTGAAATTAAATCGGCCATCAGATCCTTACGCTCGACGATATTGCCAACAAATCATATTTGATGATACGTTTCAACTAGCCCTCGCTTGATTTGTTTAGGTTCGCCGGTGAGACCTTAAGTAATCGGGCTCTGCCGTGATCGCACCTCAACTCATATTCCATTTATCATGCAAATTAAGCTTGAATCACACGGTTATCTCCTCCTCAATCACACGGACGACGCTGCTTACTGCCCAACTTACGCCATAGATCAACACAAGTACGCGATAAACGCGAATTATTGCGTCCATACAGAATACCGAGCGATCGCAAAAAGCTAAACATCACCGACCTACATTAGCCATAAATTATAGCTATGCTAATATAAGTCGTTATCCACAACCTTTGTGCATAAAAAAGTTGAAAATTACTGTGTAACTTTTTTTTGATTTGCCAAAAATCGATTTTATTTTGTTTGGTGAAATATCTTGGGCTGAATTGCTTATTCTGGAACAGCAAGAGACACTGTAAGTACAAATTTTCATAATTGCCGTTCTCGGCGAATTTTGATATTGTAAATTGGTGGTGTTTGTCGCGAATTCTGAGTCAAAAGTCGGGACCGCTGCATTGATCGAAGAAGACCCGGAAGCTCGTCCGGGATACACGGCGTGCATAAAGCTCCGTTGTAAAATTTCGCTCTTATGGCCTTTTCCTCTATTAGTTTAATGCGCAGTAACGAAGCTAAATTATTCATTTCGTTAAGTTATTCAAATTGTTGGGAAACGCGAAAAATTCGCTTGGTTTGGAAACTCACGAAACGCTTTTTTCCGTTTAATTTGAAGCAAATTATTGTTGATGGCTACATACATTGCTAAGAAATCTCGTGAAATTTTTTATTGTGGAAACTTAACTGATGAAGTCATGTCGGGTTTATAACGGACGAGGTGATCTCTTAAACTGGGAACACGAGGAGAGCGCTTCTTGTAATATTGGGTTGGCAAATATTTGGGCAAATCGAAATTTTAAGTCGGATTGGATAGTTTGGACAGGGGGATGATAGAGTATAGTATTAAGGATTTTGCTTTTGTTCTTATGGTTGCTGCTCGGCTTGACAGTTCTGAGTTAGTTTTTAATGACTTTGAGGCTGTTTGTTATGAATGTTTGTCCGGGTTTTTTGCATGACAATATGTTCGTCTCGTCTTCGGCGCTCAATCAATATTGAGTGAATTAAAGTCTTTTATGTGTATTTGTCATAATTTTCGCGATAAAATCTTGGAAAACAGATCGGTGTCGCCGACTGTTTTATGTAAATAACCGAGCCGAATACACTGTCTTCCTACATATCTATTAAAGACATAAAAGCGGTGATTGTTGATTCAGAACTAATAGGAAATAATTGTCGACAGTAATATGTATGACGTACATTTTTCTATTGTTTAACTTGGAGATACTAGAGAATGAGAAAGCCAGTAACAACTATCGGATTCATCTCGGGATGATTTATGCGTATCTTGATAAGGTAGATGGCCGTTTTCTTTTGTAGGAAAACAGTCGATGGCTTTTTGTTCTTTTGATGAGAAGTCGGTTGTGTTTTTCCATGGCGGCGGCGATGTTTGTTTTGAGAGAAACTCGCATTAATATAAAATTGTTGTTGCTCTTTGTATAATTAATATTTTGTTTTGTAAACGTAATTTGGATTTATCGCTGGCGGCGTGTTTTGTTTTGATCTTCAACCCAACGCCGGTAACGCGTTTGTTTTTCCATTATTATTTATTTTTTTTACTATTGTTTTAAGCTTATTGGTCATTGGTCACACCCCGTGCCACTTTTAATTAACCTCTGACTTTTCTTTCCAGGACTTGGAAGGCGACACACCTCTTCACGATGCTATTTCGAAAAAACGCGATGACATGCTGACCTTGCTTCTGGATCATAACGCCGATATCACATTGACCAACAATAACGGATTCAACGCCCTCCACCACGCCGCTCTTCGCGGAAATCCAAGGTAGAAATTTCGACCGTATTTTCTCGTTTTCTTCTCTTCTTATATATACAATAATTTTCGTTGTGGAGCGCGAGGACGTGTTGCTTCCACCGGAAATTGGCGCCGTCGGCACTCGCATCCGTTTCCGTGCACATCATCGTCGTCAGATTCTCGAAAAGTCGGCTTCAGTCGACACTATTTACACACTGCCCCTCTAAATAAAGCAACTCCGGGACTTATTTCGAGAGCCGACTTTGCTCAAATTGCGAATTCAAGCCTCTTTACATCTTTCATTGCATATTTACTCCAGCACCCGTATGAAATTTTTACGATATTGGGTCGTAAAAATTTAAGCGATAAGCATTACAGGTGCGGTAAGTGCAGCAACCCTTTGATCACAATTGAGTTTTTCTGTTTAATTTTTATTCCGGGTTTTTGGAGCGCCGAAAGAAATTAAGCCTCTCCTCCGGGTATCCGAAATTTAGCGCTTCTGGAGGTAAATTAACAGCAGGGATAAAGAACAACGTCTCGACGAATTTAGTCGAAGCTTGACGGAAATTAAGAAAAGCGAATTTTTTTAGGGATGGCTTTTTTTGTTCAAGGACAAAGGCGAACTCGTAAATTGTCACCTGTTTGAGAAAGGAGGGTTTTCGTGCTCATTTCAATTTCGATATTGGCACGATGATATTCCGAGCATGTAATAAGAAGCGAAGGGTGTATATTGCACAAAGGCTTTGGCCAGATCAATCGCATTTTTGCATGATAAACGCCTCGAGTTATGGTAATAGTATGCAGATGCACTTCGTGAAATGAACATTTCAAAGTGCATCAGATGGTGAACGCCGACTCTTCGACCGAGAGCAATATTCAATAACATTTCGACGTTTCGCTATTCTTTTCTCATTGCAGGATCAAACGGTTAAAGGCCAGCATATAAATTTTCTAATTTATAGATTGGCGTAATTGCGAAAAAAAAATCGCAATTTTTAAATTAGAAAAAAGTGAATGAATATTTATAAGTGTGTAGATTTTTACATAGTAGCTTTTTGTTTTAATTATTGATTTTTTAACTTATGAGTGAGGTAGTTTTGTAATTGTTTTAATTTTTTCGCCAAATATTTGTTTGAAATTAAAACGAAATAGGGCGAAGAGTCGCCGGTAATTGGAGCGGTCTTTCGTATAAAGCGCCTAGGTCGTTTCTTTTCTGCGTACTTTAATTAAGAAAATGTGCTCTTCGTCTGTGAAGTGTCTCTAAGTAAAACACAAATAATACAAAATCTAATAATGGCGTGTCGCCGAGTCCAACTCGGATACAGTGACTAAGAGTAATGGATACAAATGAACATTTAGGGGAATGATAGTTGGGTTTCGGGCGTGTATATATACCTAACCTGGACTTTTCTTCTCCTCCTCGGAGAGCAAAAAGCGTYGACCTCTTCTCTTCGTCTCTCGACTAATGTTTATTAAACTAATCACTGACGCGCATAATTTGTCTAAATGTAATCCCCACGGTGTGTGCCTGCGAATGACTAATCTTAACAAACTGGGCGAGTTTGTGCATCACCGGCGACCTGAGAGACACGAGATAAATCTCCGAAGGAATAAGGGTTTTCTTTGCGAAAAGCACGAAGGAGAGGATAATTGCCAACGACAATGTCAAAATGGCTGTAGACCAATCTGTCTGGTGGTCTCGAGGTGCGCCATTTCATACATCTCGATGTGTGACGTTCGTATCTCGGGGCCTTAGAGCACAAGTGGTGATAAGGATTGCGGTTTTGCTTAATTATTCATCTTGACCGGACTCGTGACGAGAACCGAGGTCTTGAATTATGAACGTTGGGAACTCATCTTGACGAGTGGGCGAGGAGAAAGAGTTTTAACCGACAATTAAATTTTGGATAATTAGATGAAAAGTTTTCTCGAATAAATTGGACGTGTTTTACAAGATGGGCAAAATGGTGGATGCGCTAGAAGAGATTTCCATTTTAATTAATCTTAGTCGTTTGATTTTTGTTTTCTATTTTAAAGTTGCTACAAAGGAAAACGATGTGTTTGCTAATGTTTCTTTTTGACCCTGTTTGAATTTTCCGGTTTTCGTTGGGGTGTAAATTTCGAAATTGAAATTGCGATGTATGCGGAATAGCCTAATGAAGCATCTGGGCGGCAATTCTCGTTAACCTTGCGCATTTGCGCACTTTGCAGTCATGCCGACGGCATTTGAAATAATATTTTAATAGATGAGCCTCGGATCCCTCTCCGTTATCGTCCGTTGGTAATCTTAAATAAAAAATCTCTCGGGATATAACGTTTTGATTAAATTTTTGGTATGTCCGCATATAATGTGTCGTCGTGCGTCCGACAGAATTGTTTATGTTGGGATGTATGGGAACGTTATTTATATAATATTTTTTCTCTCGAATGTTTTTGTATTGGTTTTGTTTAAACGATTGCGTTCGGGTTTGATGCGGACTTTTCGAGACAATACAGATTTTTCATCGAACGATATTACATTTTGATTTATGTCGAAACGTTGATGTGAATTATGGGTCCTTGAAGTTCGGAATAGGACAGTGGAAAAATGCCTTTCCACATATCTAAAACACAAATCTGGCAATTCCTCAAATTCAGCGTCGTCTTGCGCGATTTTTTTTTTTTTGGTTTTGTTGTTTATTTCGATGCGACGACACTAAGAACGAGATAAATTTCACGATAAGTGAACGAGTTTTTCCTATAGTCGGCATAATATCGCTCGATCGGAAGAAATTTAATAAGTGGATGAAAGGATTGTCTAGAATTTAGGACGATGGAGGAGAAGTTTATAAAATTTCGATATTGCAAAGTCGTGTCGATTGTTGGTGTACGCTTGTCACCTGAATTTTGCCATCATCGATTCAATTTCCTAACAGATTGTTGCATTGCTTTGGAAATATATTACAAACATTGATTTACGTCTGAAAAACTATTTTTTGGCTTTTTCTCTAGTTCCCGGTTGATTTTTTCTTTTTTTCCGTTTCGTGTGCACTATTCCGAGTTGCTATAGTGCCTTCAATTATTCGAAGGAAGGAAACCAGTCTTGACACGCATTGTATTGCGATGCAATTTCCTATACTACGTGGCTGTTATAGAAATGGAAATGTATGGTTCGGAGGCGCGACCTTCCACCGAACTGTCCCGAGGGTTCGTGTTTAGCAATTCGTATTGTTGATACATTTTTTTTCTTCTCTATTTCGCACAGTTTTCTTTAAATCGGGAGCATTTCGATGCCGACTCTAGAGCAATTATGAAATTTCGAACAAATTAAGTAAGATTGTGTCTGGTTTATTGGGGAACGGGTCTAAGTAGGGGTAGTCGGTCTAACCACCGATAACGGCTGGTAACTTCTCTGAGCGGAGTTGTTTCAGCAAGGCCCTGGAATTAACAAAGTTAATGGAACCGTTGTGCAGCAATGGAGATTGGACATCGCAAATTATATGACCCGGCTTTATTGTCTTCCGTTATATACTCTTTTCGTACTGATACGCTTTTAAAATTGCGACGATTTTTACAGAGATTCATCCGGTGGGGGGTTGGTGGATTTTAATTACGGTCGTGGCACGATTCATTTTTCATTTAACCGAATTTTTAGGCGTTGTTAGTATGGTTAGGATCGGCTATAAATAACACGAGGGGTGGGAGAGACCGGAATTTTTATTTATTCTTATACGAGAGTCGTGGTAATTGTGTCGTTTAACTGGAGGCGCCATTTCGTACTCGATTTTTCGGATTTTATTAAAAATATTATTGAACGTCCGAGACACATAACCTGGTAATGCTTTTGTTTATGTTCCCAATTAGCCGACAAGAACGATGCTACGGTTAGGTTAGGTAGCATTATATCAAGTCGGATATAAGTAATTTCGGCGGTCAGACGGAAATTGGTGGCGAACTAAAGTGTTTAGTTGCATCTGCGTCTAATGAAAGGATCGACAGGACTTTCGATAGACCGCACGGCGGTATTTAAAGGATATGTTGCGGTTTTACAGGATTAGAATTATTTATCAATGTCTCTCGAGGGACCATAAGGAGTTCAAAGCAGTTTTAATTAAATTCCTATCTCACTGATTGTTAGGTTTATATTTTTTTGGTGGGGTGTCTAACACAATCTCGGTTTTAAAACGACGAAGTAGGTCTGTCGTAAATCAGGAAGACGACCGATATGGGACCGTCGAGGGATTGGGTGAACAGAAAAGAACGAAAAAAGCACGTAAGAGTGTAAGAAATATCTCGGCCATTTTCAACGTCACATATACCGTAAAACAGCCGGCGCATATGTGATCTCTCTGCAATAACACTYCATTATTGCACGGGTTGAGCTAACGGAAATTCAAATTTTAATTAAAAAAGTGGGCGATTATATTGAAAAGCAGACTTCGGGAGACAGTAATGGGAAAGTTTGTGTCACATAGTCGTCTTGAGGAATGACACTTTTGCTTAATACAGGCAATGCAGTAATTGCAATCAAATCACTGCAACTATGGCCTGAAATGTGCAGCGTCGTCATGAAGATTGTATACGTCGGACGTGATTCCCAACTTGCTGAGCCAATTCTTTTGAGGTAAAAAAGTACGTGTTACATCAATAAAACAATTCTCAAATATTGGTACTTTCCGAATAATTTCGTGTATTATAGGAACATTACTGGTGCACTGCGTTACAATACAATTTTAGCAAATATTGGCCAAAAACGAAAAAAATTCTTTATTATTGTTGTTGTATTTGCTTGAAATAATACATTTATTTTGGTTTTTGATGTTAATGAATAAAAAATAATTAATTATGGTCTACGCATGTGTAGCCCATGCACGTTTTTTGTTTCGTAAATTGAGATTTCACTTTATTCGGATGAATAATTGAGCGTATGTGTGGCTAAAGCATCTTTAATTAAAGGGTACGTCATCAGTGATTTCGGGCTGCGGCACTATGTACACATGGTGAGGATTAAGTCGGGCCTCACCTGCGTGACCCGCAATTAAAATGTAATT